GTTAGGGTTTAGGGTTTAGGGTTTAGGGTTTAGGGTTTAGGGTTTGGGATTCAGGGTCTAAACGCTGGCTTGCACTCGCCCAGTTGCTTCTGCAATCAGGCTGGTTAGGGGTTGCGGTCTAGGGTTTAGGGTTAAGGGTTTAATGATTAGGGTTTAGGGTTTAGGGTTTAGGGTTTAGGGTTTAGGGTTTGTCTCTGCAGCAACGGATTTTGCTGAAAAAGGCAGCAGATGATTTCAAAACCCTTTCCGGGGCCTTAAAAGAAAACAACGAAGAGGCGCAGCAATTGAAGAAGCTCGTGCATCTCGTAACAAACCCTAAACCCTAAACCCTAAACCCTAATGCTTAAGCCGTCCTCGCACACCAGTCAAACCACACGCTCTAGCCTAAGCAATCTCTTGCCCTAAACCCCAAACCCTAAACCCTAGCTTATACCCTCTCCGGATATCGTCGAACCTTTGAGATTAATGCTGAACACTCGTCAAACCCTAAACCCTAGACCCTAAACCCTTGTTTTGCTTTCAGGTCGTCGACCGTATGAAGAATCATGTGGAGGCAACCAAAGCTCTCCCCGTTGTTGAGGTAAACCCTAAACCCTAAACCCTAGCTGCAGCCCTTCGTCCTGCCCTGACGGCTTCGCTTTTAGGGTTTAGAGCTTAGGGTTTAGGGTTTAGGGTTTACAGTTTAGGGTTTTGCGTTTTGCCTCAGGAGCCTCAAGAGACAGTCACTGAAGAGCAGCTCCAGCAAGCTCTGGCAAGACTGGTACCTTCAAACCCTAAACCCTAAACCCTAAACCCTAAACCCTAGCAAGAGGCTCCTAGTCCTTGCAGCTCCAACGGGCAGGCACATTCCCTAAACCCTAAACCCTAATCTCTGTTTGGTGTTTGCTGCAGCCGAGCGAGAAAACCATTCGAGAGCAATTTGAAAAGGCAGCGGTAAGCATACGCTAAACCCTAAAACCCTAAACCCTAAAACCCTAAACCCTAAAACCCTAAACCCTGTCTGTTCCGCCCCTTCTTTGTGTTTGCTGCAAGTATGTTTCTGTCTTTGTTCGGGTTTGTTGTTGCTTTATTGTTTTATTTGTTAACGACTTTGTTTGTCTATTCATTTATTTGAAATTCAAAACAAAAACAAAAAAACTTTATCTCTCTTCTTCTTTTTCTGTCTCCGTCAGGGACCGACGAAAACCCTCGATGTAGCTGCAGCTGTTGCACTCAGCAGACGATTGGTAAACCATTGTGCTGCTGCTGCTGCTGCTGTTGCTGTTGCTGATGCTGCTGCTGCTGCTGTTGCTGTCGCTGCTGCTGTTGCTGCTGCTGTTGCTGTTGCTGTTGCTGTTGCTGTTGCTGCTGCTGCCGCTGCTGCTTCGGCTGGTGCGCTTGCTACTGTTTGCTGTAGCACTTGCTGCTGTAGAAGCTGGTGTTGCTGTTGCACCTGCTGCTGCTGCTGCTTTACTAGCTGCTGGTGGTGATGATGCATTTGCTGCTGTTGCAACTGCTGTTGCTGCTGCTGCTTCATTTTGCGTTGGTGCATGCCTTGCTGCTATATCAACGTGGATTGCTGCTGCTGTTGCTGCTGCTGCTGCCTGCGCTGCAGCCGCATGCATAGGTATAGGTATATATGTTTATTTGTTTATTTAATTGTTTTATTTATATCATTATTTGCATTTGTTGTTCGTCCCTTATGAAATGTTTTTATTTGTTTTGCTTTTAGGGGTTTGCACCAAGTTACGAAGACATCGAGCAGTTTTCTGCTGCTGTTGCTGCTGCTGCTGCTGCTTCTCCTGCTCCTGCTGCTGCTGCTGGTGCTGCTGCTGGTGCTGTGAAAATTTCGGATTTTATTGCGTTTTGTTTGTCTGTACGACACATTGAAGATACAGCTGAGGGCTTAGCTGAGGGGTTCTCCTTGTGGGATTTAGAAAGTAAAGGTTTAATATCTGCAGATACACTCAAATATATTTTGAAAAACTTTGGAGAGCCTTTAACTGATGAAGAGGCAGATATTGCATTTAAAACCCTTATAAAGGGGCAAAACCCTGTTGATTATCAACAATTATGCAACAGGCAAGCCTAAACCCTAAACCCTAAACCCTAAACCCTAAACCCTAGATAGCAATCGAGACTAATTACAACAATCCAAACCTTAACCCTAGTTGAGATTTTCAATCTAAGCCCCAAACCCGAAACCCTAAACCCTAAACCCTCTGCCTTAATGAACATCTCAGCTCCTGATCTGCAAATTTAAACCCTAAACCCTAAACCCTAATCACCATCTTAAACCCGCAGTCCTGCGAGGCATCTAAAACCCCAAACCCTAATGCCTATCATAGACCCTAATCAGCACTCTCAACCCTAATCCTAAACCCTAAACCCTAAACCCTGTAAATCCTGAATTCTAAAGGCCTTATGAACAATGCAAACCCTAAAGTGAAGCCTTCATTCATACTTGCTAAACGCTTAACATTTACTCTAAACCCTAAACCCTAAACACTAAACCCTCTCAGCGGGGGTTAGGCTGCGGGTTTATACACCTCTGTTGGTTGGCTTTGGCTTCTTCATCAGCTTTAAACCCTAAACCCTAAACCCTAAACCCTCATAAATACCACGAACCCTAGTAAAGCATGAAACCCTAATCAGCGCTCGATCTCCCAAACCCTAATAAACCCCTAAACCCTAATTAATACAATAAACCCTAATCACACCCCAAACCCTAAACACTAATTAACACCTTAAACCCTAATCGAACTTCTTCCTGTGTCTCTTCTGTATGCAGGCTGATGGAGCCCTCAAAAATCCAGCAGAAACCTTGAAGCATCTGCTGCTGCTGCAGTTGCTGCTGCTGCAGTTGCTGCTATTGAAGTTGCCGCTGCTGCAGCAGGTGCTGCTGCAGCTGCTGCTGCTGTTCTTAATTTGTTTTTTTTTGAGGGGGGTGTATATAATTCCTTTTCAACTGCATGAGGGGGTTAGAAAACCCTAAAACCTTGCCTAAACCCTAAACCCTAACTTCCGCTTCCAATTGCAGTGAACGAGGGTTTAGGGTTTAGGGTTTAGGGTTTAGTAGTCTGCAGTGTGAGAGGCTACACACCACGAAAAGTCAATATTCAAATGAATATACACCTTCTAACTCTTCCTCTAATCGCAAAACCTAAACCCTAATTAGCCCTAAACCCTAAAAAACCCTAAACCCTAGGAGCAGTCAAACCGAAACTGCTGCGCCGACAAAAAGACATAAACCCTTAACTTCATTTTTTTGTTTTTATTAAATGCATAAACCCTAAAAGCTAGAGAATGATTAGTGTATAAGGTTTAAGGTTTAGGATTTAGGGTTTAGGGTTTAGGGTTTAGGGTTTAGGGTTTAAGAGTGGACTCTGTGAGAGGCGTGTCCTCTGCTGACCCCAGCCCTAAACCCTAAACCCTAAACCCTAGGTTATGAATTTGTAATGATTTTTCTGAATTTTATATTAAGTTATTTAAGTCGTATCATTAGTTAAAACCTGGAGACATTTAAACCCTAAACCCTAAACCCTCGCCTCCAGGGCTGCATGCGGCGAGTTGCTGCTAAAGTTGAATGAGGACAGCAAATTCAGCACACCAAACCCTAAACCCTAAACCCTAAACCCTAACACTTCCGTGAAGATGTTGAGACGGCTACTGCAGCCAACCCCCCCAGCCGCTTGCGAACAGCAGCAGCAGCAGCAGCAGCAGCAGGTGCCTCCACTTGCTGCAGCAGCAGACTTCGTGGGTTTAAAGATCCTTGGTGGAGGAGCAGCAGCAGCAGCACCGGATAGCGCAGCATACGACTCAGCAGCAGCAGCAGCAGCAGCAGCAGCAGGGGAGAGGCAGCTAGAGGTAGATGATGCTGCTGCTGCTGCTGCTGTTCCTTTCATCAACAGCAGCAGCTGGAAGAGAGCTCTAGCATACAGCTACGGTGTATATACTCCAAGGCGTCTTCAGAGAGCTCTAAACCCTCACGAGATTGCAGCAGATATTAATTTGTTTTCACAAACCCTCAATTGCGTAAACCCTAATGATGCTTGCAAATACCTCCAACTTGAAGAATTCAAATGCTTAAGAGAAAATCAAGCCCACAGAGTAAACCCTAAACCCTAAACCCTAAACCCTAAACCCTAATACTAAACCCTAACGGAATGCCGAATACGCACAGTCGACAAACCCTAAACCCTAAACCCTAAAAACCTTAGACACAGTAATCTGAAACACTAGCCCTATACCCTAGCCCTAAACCCTAAACCCTCGGGAAAGTCAGCAAACCCTAAACCCTAAACCCTAATTTGAGGCATAGTGAAGTGGAAACTTAGCAGTAAACCCTAAACCCTTGTAGACTATCTCCGCTTTGGAACAGGGTAGAGGGTTTAGGCTTTATTTGTAGCGGTGCTGGGGGCTTAGGGTTTAGGGTTTAGGGTTTAGGGTTTGCAGGACCCCGAAGCGGCGAGCACGAAATGCGTAAAGTGGTTTCAAGAGTGGCGGCAGTGCAAGTAAACCCCAAACCCTAAACCCTAAACCCTAGCCGCAAACCCTAAACCCTAATTTTGCTAATTTCTCAAGCCTCGGTCGCGATTTTTTCAGTTAAAAGCCGCCCTGCGTATGTCAAACCCTAAACCCTAGACCCTAAACCCTAAACCCTCAACGCTTTGTGCTCAGGTGGGATGAAGAGAAGCTCCAAAGAGGCTATTCATATGCTGAGGGTCTACCAGACAGAAAACACAAACCCTACATTGCAACGCCAGACTATCAGTACTCCTAAGCAGCAGCAGCAGCAGCAGCAGCAGCAACCGCAGCAGCAGGAGCCATTGGGAAGTGCTGCTGACATGCTGTCTGCCTGTATCGCCTTTGCTGCTGCTGCAGCAGCGTGAGCAGCAGCAACAGCAGCGTGAACAGCAGCAGCAACAGCACTTGCAGCAAGTGCTGCTGCTGTTGCTGCTGCGCCTTTCCGGCCCTTGCTGTGAAGCTAACAGCAGCAGCAGCAGCCGTTGCTGCTGCTG